GACGACTCGGACGCAAAAAGGAACGAAAAGAGAACGGGGAGGAGGAGACAGATGCCCGCGTCAAGTAGAAAATGGCCCGTGCGCAGCGACGAAGCGAGACCGACTTGGAGAAGACTGGACGAGTCCATCGTCATGGTTAGCGTGGCTACTGTTGCTGAGGTTTGCAATTGAAAAATGAGCTCTCGCTGCAAGATCGCGCTTGTGCGAAAGTCTGTCAGGTATCCGGATATCCGGTTAAGACTGGAAAGGCGCGCGTCCGTAACCGGACCTCCGGTTACGAGATGGGTGTACCATGCCTTGCCACACCACAGCAACAACAGGCACTGAGCGACAGGTGACAGACAGACTACAGGCGACATGCGGCCGACTGTTCATGAGTACCCCAACGCGAATGTATGTCGGTTGTGCTGCACACCACGTCGAAAAATAATAGTATTAGGACCTTGTATCATTAGGTATTGTACCCAAGGCGCCGAACTGGCAAGTACTACATTGCACGACTGGGTCGACTGCAAAAGAAGATGGCGATCGTCCGTTAGGAAATTTACCAACCCCTACAATCGAACGCTTTGGGAAGGAGTCCATCCATGTGCCTGGACGTGATCTGATTTCGGATCCCATCTATTTTTAGACTGCCTGCCAGGAGCAAGTCTAAAAATAACGTTAGTCAGCGGCTGGTCCTGAGCAAATAATATTTTCAGCGCGACTGGAATCTGAGTCGTCATCCAGGTCGCGGGGATCGAGGCCAGGATACCGGTACTAGTCCCTACGGGTATAGCTTCACGGAGCACGACTATTAGTGTAGAGCTTTCAAGCCCATATGGAAGCTGGCAATAACGCTGAGCGCCCTTTTTGGTTCTTGGCAGTACCAAAACTCTTCGTTTGAACAGCATTTTCTCTGGCACGAATGATTGGGTAGAAAACATGATTCGCATGTCAAATGAATGTCTCTACATGCAGAGCTCAAGAAGGCGGTGGATCAGGAATGCATGCGAACGCAGTAGCTGACGCAGTACATTGGTGAGTGCCAGCTCGGTGAGTGCGACAGTGGCATGCGCCAATACATATATATGCAGCTCGAAAACCTGCGTTGGTGGTGGACGAATCAGGAGGAGTGGTAAGGAGAGCTTTTCCTCTCCTTCTCGCTTCTCGCGATGGAAAACGTGGGGCAAAAGGCAACCGCGTTGTCTGCACTCGTCCATGGGTGAAGCCAGGTCGAGAAAAAGTAACCACACGTAAAAATGCCTCCGTTCTCTACTCGTCTGCCAAAAAACCTAAATTGGCTCACGACCAGGCCCCGGATGGTGTAGCGCTTCTCGCCGCAAAAAACATCTTCCGCCATTATTTGGCACGCGACCATTGACTACCGCTTTGCGTTACTACCCGTAGCACAGGCCAGCCTTGAAAATATTGGCGGCGGGTCGCAAAATTCTATTTTTAGCGCAATGTTATCTGCGCAATGTTATCTGAGCTGCGAAACTGTTCGGTGGCAGTGTATTGTCTGATCCTGTGGGACCGGTAACAACAAAGTGGCGTCTCGGCAATGCCGCTGCTCTCAGGTATCGACATCCACGATCTTACAGGCACGACTACTCTCGTCAAAGATGGTTTAGCGCAGCGGGTGCAGCGACTGTCTACGCGTATTAACGCGAGTGCTGTATGGGACGAGGAAGGCAATCATCGCTCGCCAAACACGCTTCTCATGACCATCATTAGACACAAGTGTGCGCGGCTGTGTGCCACCAATACCTCACAAGATCTTATAGTGGCATAGTGGCTTGATTGGTGCTGTTGATAATTTATCAAACTATCAACGTTGTGTATCGTTACAGGCCCAACCGTTTATTTCGCAAAATGAATTGCTGGCGCCCCAACGTCGCAAATGCACACCGAGAAACGCAAGTGCGGGTGACGGTCCAGTGGTTACCACCCCAGATTACGCAAGAGATCCTGTCCTTTCTGGACGATGCGAACGATGCTTGCGCCTTCCTTACAGCAATGCCAGAAGAAGCCCTCGACGACGCTCTGGATGCGCTCCGGAGCATTTTGGGTCTTAGCTTTTGCCTTTCGCTGTGGCCTGTCGCACACGGTCGCGAACTCAACCTTCCGTTCAATCGAGAACAACGATATCCGTGGTACGACGAATTCCGCAGCATCATGCGACGCGCGCTTCCAGCGTTCCCGCGCATCGATGTCGTTTACGATGTGAACCATCCGGTCATCTACGAGATATGCCACGCCACAATGCTGCGACCAACCACAAGCGTTCACGCCGAGGTCGACCACGATGTGGGACGCGTCCGTGCTGCCTTTGGCAACTGGACCACGAGCATCACGCATCTCACGATCTTGAGCGAGTCGTTTCTCAACTACAACGACGTCGTCGAGGACGAACTTTTGGCGTGTCCGCGCCTTCGTGCGCTCACGATGGAGCAGTTTGATGCAAATAGCCATTTTGGTCATGCGCTGGCCGTCGTTATCACGGCATCTCCCCGACTCGAACGCCTGAGTCTACGCTCGTATTTCAAATCCGTCATGGCGGACGGCACCAACCTCCTTGCGTGGCTAGCACGACCGTCAGCGCGACATCTCCATCTCGAACGCATCGTATTTGACGCCGAGCTCGGCACAGCGCTAGCGAGAGCGATGCTAACCTCGAAAACGCTCAACACGATCGAGCTTGTCGACACACCGTATCTCGCGCATGGGGTGATGAGCCCGTCGTTGCCACCGCTGCCCCGTCAACTGCGCCACTTGACGATGCATTTTGACAAGTCGGCCGATGTAAACAGTGATCTGCCGTGGACGTTTGGTGACGCCGACGCGTGGGCGCTTGCCACCAAGATCGTTCTATCGAACTTAACCACGTTCAAGTTGCGCCTCCAGAACCGCTGCGACGTGACGCCGGTGATGACTGCCTTGGATTTGATCCCGACCTTGACGACGCTTGCGCTCGAGACAGTGCACGTCAGCGCGTTTCCGCATCTGGTGCAGCTCTGGCGTCTGGAGCTACTCGCCGTGACGTACTCGGAAAATGCGATCGCGTCGCTAGCGACATTGCTCCATGCGTTCCCAAAGCTGACGCATCTCGATCTTGGCCAGCAGCAGCTTCCATACCACCAGGCTCTTTCCATCTTTCGCGCGTTGCCACTATGGCTAAGCCATCGAGGGACAGCCTGTGAGGTCCACCTTGGGATCGAAAGCGATGCGCATGCCAACGCTTTTGCGACGGCGCTTGTCCAGATGCGCAACACGCACAAGATCACACTCACAGTTTTGAATGGTGGCCTCTCGCTCAAGGCGCACCAGTATATTGTCGCCGCGCTCGGGTTGACGTCGCGCATGGGCCTGCGCTTCTCGCCCATGGCAGGATACCTATCCGCCGACGAGAAAGTGACGTTGGCAACGTACAGCAAACTGCATCGTGTCCAGATCTCGAAACGGAAACGGCGCGACTACACAGAGACTTGGTATCTCTCGCCGAGTGCTTCGTGACCCTTTATTCCTACCGATTAATTTTGCAAGCTGTCCATCTCATCGCTTCATACACTTTGAACTATCGCATACGACAGCCCATAGGACTATCTATCGATATAGCTAGCTAGCCACAGTGCAGAATTCGTGAAAGTGCTACATTGCGCGAGCTACGCGCTGACATTTGATCTCACAACGTGTGCGTATCGTACCTACCGACTAGCTTCCCGCTGCATATTAGAACGACGTTGCTTTGCGCTGGGAGAACTCTTTGGGAGGACCAAGCGCGCCTCGTAATCCAAAGATGCCAGATCCGTCAACTTCAACTTGTGCGAATCGAGCGGGTGCGCATCCGGATAAACCTGGCGAGAATGCATATCGCGTATTGAGTCTCGATTCAAAAGGCGATTTCGGAACAAGCCGGCGACGGGCCGCGATGAACGCGACGACGAGGTACCCGGAGTCGTACCAGGCGAGCTTGGGCATGACGACGCAGCACTACGTGTCCATGGTCAAAACCATCTTCCTCGGGCTCTCGGGCGCAGCGCTCGGCGTCTTCATCCTCGTCCTCTACGGGCTCTGCATGAAGCGCCCGACGTGGTGGTACGGCCTCCTCGTGCGCTGGCTGCGCATCTCGGACCCGGATGCGACAACGTCTGCGATCTTCCAGCGCTCGAATGCGGTCGCCGT